TATATATATATATATATATATATATATTTCTTAAAAAAGTATTCTTGTATTATTTGGTTGTGAAGAAAATCAGTAGACTCTTAATAATTTAAAATCAAAGGAAAAGATTTTTTAAAGAAAAATTTCAAATTATTTGAAGTTTAATGTACACAAAAATGTAAGCGATCACCACTAATAAATTTATTGGATTATAAAATTATCTCCTTTTTAAAATCAGATCCGCGTAAACAGCATCATTACAATATTAAAACATGAAATTCATCCGTTTGTAAAAGGTCATGACATGATCTCTATTTTATCAAAACCACTTATGATTAAAAGAATTTAAAACCATGTTTTTTCTTTCTATTTTCTCCAATTTTGATAGCATATATATAACAGATTTCATTGTGCTCCTACAAACAAAAAGAACAAAGTTAAATTTGTGATTGCACCACTTCTTAGGAAAATTGAAGAGTGATAGTTAAAATTATGAAGCAGTACATGTAAAGGAAATCAAATGAAAATTTCTCAATAAGCTAAATATCTATTTTCAATCAATGTCAAAAAAGTGCTTGATGTTATAAAATGAATTTTAATATAAGGAAAAAAATAACAAATTGAAAGTTACAAAAGCTTTATATGCAACTTGAATCTTTAATTTTAAATTTTGTTAATCAAACAAATATACTAATATTTAAAAACCTTCTTGCAAATTAAAAAAAAAATATTAACACATTTGTCAATAAAATGTCAAAGGTAGATACAGTACAAATAATGCGTAATTGTAGCAAATCGATTTGGCTTTTATTGTACTATTTGTAAAGTTTAATTTTTAATCTTTTTTTTTCCCTAAGTGAAGGCATTCTGGTTTGTAAAATCAGACGATTTATCAAATCAAATGTTCTGAGAATGGAAATGGTTTGAAAAGGTGGCAGGAACTGTATTTAACTAAGATAATTAATAATACATAAAACTCGTAGTTTCTCTATTTTAGTGATGATCTGCAAATTGAAAAGCATTATACTGTTTACACACCGTTTATATGAAGCTCCATTTTAATTGTTCAGATAAGTAATTTGGTTTAGAAAAAAATGAAGGAGCGTAACTAGAGTTCATACAATCTGAAACAAATTCAACTTATACACCTTCCTTGTGATAAAATGTAGTTGCTCACAAGCTAATTTGAACAACTTGAAAAATTCCTTAACTTTGATAACTTAAAATATTTTACTTGGCTGTCTGTAAATGATTTTGCACTATTCAATTTCTTCAATAATTGATCCTTCACTAGTGTTCAAATGACCTCTGCTTCTACTTTTCACAGATCACACTATATTACATAAACATATATAATAGAACACATGTTTTACATCATGTTTCCAATTTTATTTTTATACTTTTACTATGTATTTTGAAGACATTTATGATCATTACTGTAGTAATGATTAGATGCTTAACTTATATTGATGAAAATATTCTAAAAATAACTAATATAAAATATTTCGTGGATGATATTAAATATTTTTATTTTAACCGAAATGTGAGATCTTTTCTCTTGTCACAATTTCACAAACCTACAGCAAACAAGAATTTATGAATCTGTTAATAGTGCATGGCTATGACACAATATGAGTGGCCTTTCAATATGTGTGATGCTGAATATGTTAAATTGATTTCGTTTTACGTCATTAATAATATTTTCTATTAATAATTGGCGGGGGAAGATTTGAAAGTAGTTGAAGTTTTCTGATTTTTCTCTGGGTCAGACTTTGACCTCATCAAAATTGTCGGAAGAAATTTTAGTTGAAAATTAAATTTTAATATTGGTATAAATAAGAAGTTCTAAGGGAGTTAATGCTGCTTTGAATTATCTACATTCAAATTAAAAATACTCTGCTGCATAACTTAAACAAGAGAAAAAATTAATTCTTGCGTTCAACTTTTTTTTTTTATACAATTTTTAAATGCATGTACTTATAAAAAAATATTTAAAAGAAAAATTTAAAATTTTCTTTGATTTAAAAAATATCACTAATTTTGATGTTGATATCTATTGCATAAATTGCTAAATTTTTTTTTCTATGTGGGTGTTTTTCTGTTGTTTAATATTTTACTTCCTATTGACTTTTGTAAATATTTGTTAATAAGAAAAAAAATGATTCTAGAAATTTTAGTATCTAAGTTTGGAAATGTCAGATTTCCTATAATTAGAAAATATATTTAAAGTAGTTCACATTAAAACATAACATTTTGTTTCTGTTATAGGCTATACCCGTCATCTTAGATGGAAGAAATATTATAGCCATGGCTAGAACTGGTAGTGGAAAAACAGCTGCTTTTCTAATTCCTATGTTTGAGAGACTAAAGAGTAGAATTGCAAAATCGGGAGCTAGGGCGCTTATTTTTTCACCTACCAGAGAACTGGCTGTTCAAACAATGAAATTCACCCGAGAGGTTAGTATTGTTCTTTATGATTATTGAAATTATTTGTTTCTAAGGAAACATTAGATGTGTTCATGATATATTTATTAATTATACATCTTCAATATTTATTAACATAAAGTGTCTGCATTTATGAACATAATGGACTTTATAATCCCCACTTTTGTAATTTTTTAATATTTTGGATATAATTTGTTTAATTTATCGTTGTTTTGTACCTTGTGTTAGTATTGTATGTTAACTAAATAGAAAACATGGTATTTATTTCATTTGTTACTGTTTTCTGACTAATAAACAATGCCTTTATAAATTTTGAGCTTCTTAGATTATACTAAACAATGTTATAGAAAAAGTTAAAAGGAAACTTTTGAAGTTAAGAAAAAACTTATGTGTAAACATACAAATTTTTATTATCATTAGATTTTTCCTCTTTTATCGACTGGTATTCTGCCGTGGAATAATAGTAAAAATTGAGATTTTTATTTATTCAGAATTTTTTGTGTAGTAAGCTATATGTTACAGAAAAAGTTTAAAGAATTTTTAATGATTTCCTGAAATTCTATTTTAACATTGATATAGCAATGGAATAAAATAGTAGTCAAGCTGCCTTTCTCGAAATTGATCACGAAGAACTTACTCCTTTTCTCAATAGCATACTGCTTAACAATATCTTATCATCTAGCTTTTTTTCACTTTCATATCAAAAATATGTTTCTCTACTTTATTTTCTTACTTTAAGCTATTGCGTATCAACTTAATTAGTTATTTTCTTGGTGAATTGTCAAAATTTCTAAACTGGGTCTGTTTCATTAAAGGAGAATAGTAGTTAGCTTGTAATTTGCTTCATTTGATTTAATCTAGCTTGGAGCAAACACAGATTTGAAAACGACGCTGGTTCTTGGTGGAGAAAAGATTGAAAATCAATTCGCTGCCATTCATGAAAGTCCAGATATAATAATCGCTACTCCTGGGCGTTTTCTTCATTTAGTGCTCGAAATGGACTTGAAGCTATCTTCCGTGGAATATGTCGTCTTTGATGAAGCTGACAGGTAATACACAATTAATTTTAAAAAGGATAGTCGTGCCAGAATTGGCTTTTTGACATCTAAAACCTTTATTTTATGTGCGTTTTATGACACAGCAAGCAATTTCTTAACAAAATTTTCTGTAAAAATAAAAAAATTTTTTTACATATTTTTATTTTGTTATAATTATTTCAATGTACTACCAAGTATCATTTCTTTTCTATGGTCAAAACTGATAAGATGAAATGGTTTTATGTTTGTTTCTTTTATGTTCTTTCTTACAGCAAAGATTTTACAAAAGTTTTAGGCTAGAAAATTTGTAGCCATGTTACTGCCTTCCCTTTTATCCAAATAAAAGTCATCTAATCAAAGTTTTCAGAATCTAATGCATGATATGACCATTCTTATTTACCAAATATGACAATTGCTATTTTTACCAATTTATATTTATTGCGATATTATGTATTGCATATTAATCAGGGAGGAGATTTTTCCGCTTTTTTCACTTTTATCTCTTGAATTTCAGCTTTTTTATCAACAATTCAGATTTTCTAAAAATTTCACTTTTTTTAATAAGTATTCCGCTTCTTCAGAAAATTCACCGATTTTCAAAGATAAACAGAAAATTCAAACTACGTAGCTACCAATCCTTTCTAATTTTTACTTATTTTAACTATTTTGTCCCCTTTTACACGCAGCAGATAAGATTTTCCGAATTTTTTACCAGCCCTCCGGATAAATCCGATTTTCGTAGTTCAAACGACGCTGCTTCTGACAAACCTTTTAGAGTTCCCAAGCCTGGAATCTGCTAATATCTCGATTTTTATTCATACGTTTTTAATATCAAAGATAGCTTTTCATATTTGTGTGTTGCGATTCTTATTCACACGATTTGAATATTGTACGTCGCGATTCTTATTTACGAGATTTAAAAATCCGATATTGTGATTCATATTTACGCTTTTTTAAAAACCTATGTAGCAATTCGTATTCACTCAAATTTAAAATTTAATGTCTTGATTTGCTCATGTGGTTTATAATATCAAACATTGATTTTCGTATTTATACCTGATTTTAAAATGAGGCATTGGGATTCGCATTCACGCACTCTAAAAATTATGCATCATAATTCTTATTTATGCAATCTAAAAATTACGCATCATGATTCGTATTTATACTATCTAAAAATTATGAATCGTGATTTGTATTTACGCGTTTTAAAAATTCTATATCCCGACTAAATATAGCAAACAAAAGCAATCACTTTAAAAGGGATTTAAATTTTTTTTTTTTTTTAATAGCAAACTAAAATAGCAATTTTTGTATGTTAAGGTTAAGGAGTTACTATATATTTCTACTTCACTGTTATTGATATGTTTCAGAGGGCTCTAGTTAGATTAGACTATAATCTGAACATAATGATGCGGTCCATTGTTAGAGTTTTTGTTTTCAATATAATTTAAAAAGTAATATTACTGATATATTTACTATAAATCACACAACAGTGTTTATTAAAAGAAATGAAATAATAATGTATATTCTCAGTAGTTTTAATTTGCTAAACCGGGTAGTTTTTCAAGTAATGATTGTCTCTTATGTGAACTGAGGGAAAATATAATTTCCAGCTTTATTTTTTCAATTGGTAATTTTTATTTTCTCTAAATGTTAAGTATCAATGTAATCATTTATATAATAATAGATTAGTATACAATTGTATGTCAACACATTATTTATTACCTTAAACTGTCTGGAATTTATTATTAAAGGGTTGCGCTTGTGTAAAATTTACTATCGTGGAAATTGAGCTTTTTTGCCTTTTGACTAATCTCATCCCTGATTAATGGACATTTGCTAAATATGGGAATTGTTAATGATCAAATAATGCCAAGCATATATAAGATGCTGTAAGATAGCTGTTTTTTTTTTTTTTTTTTTTTTAGAAGTGTTTCTTTATNAAAAGAAAGTAAAAAAATAGCTTAACAAATGTTTTTTTTTTTTTTTTTACTATTTATTTATATTTTTGTTTTGCAACAAATACAGCTGCAGAATCAGTCCCAAGAAGCTATAATACTGCTACGTCTAAAAGTTTTAAATATTTTTATATGTTATTATTAAAATTTTAATATCTTGTAAACCAAATTTAGCATATTCTGTCTCTTGTCCTTATTTTAGATTGTTTCGTCGATTTTTTTTTTCTGAAGTAAATTTTTCTGTTTTTCTTAAGATTGACTCATTTTTCAATCTGTTCTTATTTTTTAAAAAAGAGATAGTCTTTTTACAAATATTATATTCTATTTAAATTTGTGTTTTTAAAGATTTAAAATCTGTCTTTCAAGAGAAAGACATGATAAAGTGTTTTAAGCACCTTCTTTAATATGAGTGATCATTAAAAATTCTTCATTACAAATTGTAAAACTATTTTAATTTTTTGTTTAGATATTCTTTCTTTTCATTTTATTCAAAAAGTCTGTTTAGATAATTTTGATGTGAGACTAAAAATTTCAAAATTATTATTTCATTTTATTGCCATCCATAGGCTGTTTGAAATGGGATTTCAAGAACAACTACAAGAAGTGCTTCACAGGTTGCCTACTGAACGACAGACTTGTCTATTTTCTGCTACATTACCAAAAATTCTTGTTGATTTTGTGAAGGCTGGCGTTGAAGACCCTGTTTTGATAAGATTAGATGTAGATTTGCAAATTAGTGAAAACTTAAAGGTAGGATTCGAATTTTGTAATATTTTTCCCTCGTATAATCGACTCAAATTTTATTCGTACAATTTTTCTCCGACTGTTGATTTGTTCTTTAATTGGCTTTTTTATTTTTAAATCTGTTCTAAAAACATATTTCAACTCTGTAGAATTAAATGCAAATTCATTTTTCTCTTGTTTATCTAATTTTATTTTTTATAATGAAATCTAAGTGCCAAGGTTTCTTTATATATCAAAAATAAAAATTTATGTAGCGTGACGACTTTGATGTCATGTATTTTTTCCATGTTTAAGAATAATGGAAATTCAGGGTTTTGTGTGTTACAGGTCAACTTTAATGTATTCTTTACAGAATTTAGTGTCATTGTAATAGATTAGAAGAAATGTAGTCATAGGGATATAATTATATGGAAATGTGCTAAAATTAATAAAAAGAATGATCAATTATTAGAGATTAAAAAAAATTGCATACATCCAGATAAGAATATACCAAAACACATGTAAACACTATAATTTCTATTCATTGCTATTCCTTTTTTTTTTTTTAAACATTTTAGTGAGAACTTATATACTTTAGTTTTTTTTTTTAAAAGATAAAACAGTCAGCTATCATTTTACCCCTTCTGAGAAATACATCACATAAGCAAAGTTCAACTAAGATAAGTAAATCTTTTGTGGGAAAAGCTACGTCATCTACCTACACTTTGTAAAATTTTATCATATGAACAATAATGCAAATACAAATAATAAATTTTCAATAGTATAAATGATTTACTGTTAAAAATTATTAAATATACAATAAATGAATATATGCTATTTTACTTTAAATCAAAAACTATGCATTTCAATAATTTCCATCATTTTTCAAAATTGTACCTCAAGGAATCGCAGGAGCATTAGGACAGTAAAACCTAATATAAAATATCCCAATATTATCTAAATCAAAAGATTAAGCACTTAATAGTTAAATTGAATTATAATAAAGTAATGAAAAGAATAGAAAATTTTAGAGGTGAAAAATATTGGAAAATATATATTAGCGGTATTCGAAGATGGCGTCGTCAGGGGGTACCAGCTTCAGAACTCATAAAAACATAAAACTTTTCTATCGCGAGAGCACAACAAATGGCTAAAATTTGCTCTCTCTGTAGTCCAAAGGTTTTGCAAGAGGTTCAGGAAGAGGGAAAAATAGAATACAAAAAAAAATAACGATGTTCCAAAACCTACTTCAAAATATTCCTTTGTTAAACTAAAACACACAGCAATCTGAAATTCTATAACCAAGCTAAAATTCAGACTGCAACCCTATTAAATGCACAGAAGGAAGAAAACAAGTAAAGCCAGAAAGTTGTTGCCATCAGTAAGTTGAAAGGCTTAACTGTGGAGCTCGGTTAAATTTTGATTCAATTTCGATTATTGAAATTCGAATTATGATTTGTAGTTGCATTTATGATAAATAATTAATGAAAATATTAATAAAAATTATTGGATTGATGTTTGTAAATTTAATCTTTTTTATAATGCTCTTTTTTAATGGCATTGATTTTTATAAACAAAAAATAGGGATACCACTAGGTAATTCTTTTTCTGGTGCTTTTGCTAATATCTTTTTGCATTTTTTTTTTTTTTAAGCAAAGTATCTTGAGTTTAATGATTTAAAAGCATTTACATATATTGATGATTTAATTGTTATAATTTTATTTTTAATATTTATCCTGCAGATTTGGTTTTGAAAGGGATTATTGATAATTATTTAAATGTTGAATAGTTGGATTCTAAAATTAATATTGCTAGTAATCAAATTAAATTTGGTGTTTATGATAAAAGGAAGGCTTTTAATTTTAATATTATTTTTTTCTGTAATTTTGATACCAATTTGTCTTGTGAAATTTTCAAAAATTTAGTTTTTTTCTCAACTACCTAGAATTAATAAAATTTTCAATAATGTTAAATACTTTAAAGAGGCTACTAGTAATTTTTTTGAAAAATTTTAAAAATTAGTGGTTTTCCTTTTAACTTCTACAGTATTGATGGTAAAATTAATGAAATAATAAAAAATTATTATTTTTTCTTTTTTTTTTTTTTTCATTGGGTAAATCGAAATTTAACTGAGTTTCCCAGTTAAGCTTTTCTACTTACTGATGGCAAAAACTTTCTAGCCTTACTTGTTTTCTTCTTTCTGCGCATTAAATAGGCCCTAGAATTCCTAGAACTCTGTCTGAATTTTATTTCTGTTATGAATTTTCAGATTGTTGTGTACTTTAGTTTAACAAAGAAGTATTTTCAATTAGGTTTTTGAGTATTGTTTTTCTTTTTGTATTCTATTTTTCCCTCTTCTTGAACTTCTTACAAAATCATTGGGGTACAGAGAGAGCAAATTTTAGCAATTCCTTGTGCTCTCTTGATAGAAAAGGTTTTGCGTTTTTACGACTTCCTAGGGCGGTACACCCCGACGACGTACGCTTCTGATGTCATTAATATATTTTCCAATATTTTCTTCCTTAAAATTTTCTAATGGTTTTGATTTTCTTACAAAATTTCTGCTGCATTGGACAACTTTCCTTTAGAATTGTAGTTTTAAATGTTTTATCACAATTTCTCATTTTGTTAACGAAAAGAATCTTACTCATTGCAAAATTGTACTGTATATGTTGGGAATATTTTGACACATCCGTCAGATTTTCACTCACATTAGGCCAGTGTTTTCATCATAGAAAAAAAATGGGTGACAATTTCTCACCCTTTCTCAAAAACAGGGTGAGATTTCAGAAAGTTAAGTGAGATTTCTAAAAACTGAAAAAATACAAATAGACTTGGAAAAAAAATCATTTCTTTTATTATAATACATTTTTAACGTCTTCTATTTTTTAAAGCATTGAATATTTTTGCTGCATCATCATTGATTTTGCCTTTACTAGGTATATGTCCATCTTACATTAGTGCATAAAAAAATTTGAACGTCTTATATGAAAAACCATACCTACAGTAAACACGTGGTTGCAGAGAAATGTGTTCTGAAACGGGTTCCGTGGTTCGGAGGGGTTGTGTTCTGTTGTTCGAAAAGGTTCTGAACAATACCTACTGGTAAATAGGGAAGCTAGATAACGGGGCAAGTGTTGAAAATAATGAAGATCCAGGAAGAAAAGTGAAACTGATTTTATTCTAAATGACGTAATTCGAAGCTTTTTCCAAAATGCGAGAATTTCGCGAATTTTGAAATTGATTTATAGAGTGCGCGAATTTCTCGCTGTAATCATTTTTTAATGCGAGAAAAGAAAAAAATATGCGAGATTCTCGCGCTGTAGTGAAAACACTGCTAGGCTTTTACCTATCTCACCAGAATGTAAAAATTCAAGGTTATGTCATTTTCCCTGAAGGAGAAACATACCTCTCATATAACTCCTTATGTTTTAACTAAAATGAGAAAAGTATATCCCTTAACATGTTGTTCATTCTTCATTTTAATGATACGCAAAATGTCCGGTGTATTTTAAATCGATTAATGATGCGACTGTATTTCGTACACATTTCCGAGTTCGTTTATCGTGTAAATATCTTGCGTCGCTTGCTTACGTTATTGTTTTTTAAAATCAACCTTCCTTGTTTATTTTCCTTTTGATGTTATTGGGTGGGAAATTTTGTGGCATTGTATATTTAGTTTCGCAATCATAATATAATAAGTCGTCTTCATCATCTTGTTCAGATAAAAGTTATTGATTCGCAACGCATTTTGCTGCTTCATTTTTTCAAATTCAAGCGTATCGAACGATCGACATCTTAGTAGAAAAACTCGTTTTGTGTGCCATTGAGTCTAATCACAAATACATCCTATTTTTTATTATTAATGTATAATACACTATTTGACCAAAAGTATACATTACTATGAACACCCCCAGTGATATATTCGGACACCCGGTGGCCACATATTAATGGGATAGCGCCCACGCGTCTGGGGAAACTTTCCGGCAGTTTCTGATTAGTGGAATGGACTTCCATCACAGCTGAAGTGAGGAGGGTCGATTTGGCTGGCTACGTTATCAGCACTCTTAATGTGTCCTAAAGGTGTTCTATGGGATTTAGATAGGGACTCTGAGAGGGCCAGACCTGTGTTTTGAACACCTAAAGCACAACTTGTGAATGGAAGAGAAATGGGAGTGCATTCTCGTGGCCAGATAGGGCATCCTAGTTTTAAGTAAATTAGTTGATTCAGCGGCTGCAAATTATTAAAATAAACTTCAAATATAGAATAAATAACTAAAAACGATCGTTCTTTAAATCAGTAAAGAAAATTTTTAAAAATGGGAAAGCGGCTTTCTAAAATAGAGGCATTTTTCCTATGTTGACATGACGATCTTTTTGCGTTGTTTTAATCCGACGTCTTTAAATTTCAAAATCGTGCATTGACAAAAATAATTAAGTGGCCCTTCGGCCAAACGTAGGAATAGTCGAGGTCGAGCGTTTCCTCCCAATTGTTATTATTAAAGAATGACTTTCTCTTTTTTTTTTCACTCCGGAGGCCGAAGAAAGGGGTCGTCAGCTGCATGAGAGACTCTGGGTGATAGCGGGTAATTCTTTGGTAAAAGTAAAGAGCATCCATCACAATACTGTTACATTCTTGCCTATATTGTGTATTGCAATCCTGTTTTTCACCAGCATTGGTAATTTTTTTAATTATTGTTGATCTTAAAACACGAAAATAGATCAGCACAAAAGATAAAAGCAGGGAATGTTGATAATGAATTTTTTGGAGAATCAATTCTACAAAATAGACTTTTCAAGCTTCTAAATAGTCCCAAAAAAAAAAACACCAGATTTGCTGCACATGCCAAATATCCAGGTTTGAAATCATAAATGCTGCTGCATATCTCCACAAAATTACGGTACATAAACTACTATAAAAATTACTTTTTATGAGTAGCTACATTATCGTTTTGAATCCAAATTAAATTTATTTGAAAAGTTTTTATAGAATATAAATGTTAGGTGATATTTCTTACAAAGTAATGCGCATCATAAAAGAGAGTTATTTTGCTGGATTTAATAATGTGAGGGGGACATGTAACCACAAATGGGTTACCTTGAACTTTTAATTACAAATTTCTTTAAAAATTATCTTTTGGAAAACTTTGAATGTAGTGAACCATTGTCTATTGCTGTGTCAGACTGTATATATTTATATTTTGCTCTTATGGTTTCAGAGTTCCTATCTGATCTGTCGAAATGATGACAAAACTGCCATCCTCTTGCATCTTTTGAAGAATGTTATTGATATCAATAAAGAATTGACTGTTGTTTTTTTGCCTACCAAGCACCATGTGGAACATGTGAATGATGTATGCATTCAATATAGAATTTCAACTTGCATATTTAACATCACATTTGATAAGTCATTATTACTATTCTTACACTTTAAAGAACTATTTTATAGAATCATAGTTGTCTTCTAGCTATGATAAGTAGCTAAAGCATTGGATTAACAAAATACCTAATATTAAGGAAGAGGACTCTTAAATTATATGTAGATTTAGAACGTAGAAAGATTAATTAGCAAACTCATTTGAAAAAATTAATTGTAAAAGAAGAAATATATGTAAAAATTATAAATTTTTTAAAAAGTGGCTTTGAAATTAATCGATGTCGGTAATAGTTTAAGTAAATTGTTGTATGTTATGCGTATTTTAAAGTGAATAAATGACTAGATCATATCTCAATAATTAAAATAAAAAAAAGATAAACGTTATTTCAATCAGAAAAATTACAAAATTGTAAGTCATTTTTAAACAACTTCTAGTTCATTTTTTACAATATTAATATTATTTTTGATACTTTCAACTAACTTTGGTTTAACAAATGAGTTGTATTGGTCCTTATATTCTCTTTAAAAACAAGTTGTACTTTCTTTAATTATTTGCTACAATCACCAGTATTGTTTGAGGTCATAAAAATATTTTTTTTTAAAACTTAGATAATTCTTTTCATCTTTTTTAAGCAGGTGAAGAAAAAAAAATTTATTTGAGCAAGATTGTATGAAATTAAAGCTTTACTTGAAGGCTTCACACTGTAGCATTTTTATATTGCTTGGTAATGGAATTTTAAAAAACAGCCAGATTAATAAATAATATCTTAAAGCTTTAATCGGCTTAAATATTTGTAGTAGTGTGTATAAGTTTAAAATTTGGACTATTGTGATATTTACTTTCAAATGCTCTGGTTTAAGTTTGAAACTGTTATTTGTTTATTTTAGTTGCTGGAGAAATCTGATATACCGTGCAGCTATATTTACAGTAGCTTAGACCAAATGGCTCGTAGCATTCACATTGCCAAGTTCCGTGCTAAAAAGGCATGTGTCCTCCTTGTCACGGACATTGCTGCTCGTGGAATCGATATACCTCATTTGGATAATGTAATCAACTTCAATTTCCCTGCAAAACCAAAGCTTTTCGTTCATAGAGTTGGTAAGATTAGTTTTCTTTCTTATTTCTTGATATTGTTTTGTGAATCAAGTTGTGAACTCTAACTTAAAAATTTGTCTTAATTTCTTATTTGATCTGGCCTAAAGCTCTTAACTTAATTTTTACAGAAATGATTACTTCAAATAGTTTCTATCAATGAATACAACAATACTGTATGAAGATGTGTGTACAGTACGCAAAATAAAATACAGACCACCATGAATAAATTTTGATCTAATGATCCGATTTTCGTGTTCTGGAACTCGTTCTTAATAGTTCGAAAAGGGGACCTCAAATTTGCTAATTAATTAGTACTAGCAATATTATAAGTTTCAAAATTGGGCACAAAAATGTACCTTTTCTGAATAAACATGACTTGTTTCGACGGATTGTGGTGTCCCTAAAATATCGAGGGTAGCCGCATTCTGGGAAATACGATCTCCAGTGTTTGGTCAAGAGCGCAGCTTAAAGTTAGGACCCCTTAATGTTAATTTTACTTTTTGTGTATTTCGACATATCTCAAGAACTTATTGAACGAATTTAACATTTTTTGCACACACTTACAAAATATGTTTATCCAAGGATAATTTTGCAAAAAATAATTTTAGTTTATATTTATTACTTTATTTAATAATTGTCAGAAAAATTTTTAATTGTAAGGCCTATAATTTTTTACACTATTTTAAAGTATGTAATTTTGTATAGCAAAATACAAAATATGAGCAAAATCGTTTGAATAGCTCCTGAGAAGAAGCCGTATATTTAAAATTCAATTCAGCCGCCCTCCTAACTAAACTATGAAGACCCTATTTCCTATAGTGTGGGGGGTCAAAAATCTGAGTCTGTCGAAAAAAGGATACGTTTATTCAGAGAAAGTACATGTTTGTTTGTGATTTCGTAACTAGAAATGTTGTCCACACTAATTAATTAGCATATTTTAGGTCGCCTACTTGAACCCTTAAGAGTCTAAGAATGTGTGATCACTAGATCAAAAGTTATTTAGGGTGGTCCTTTTTTTTCACACTGTTCAGTCTAATCCACTATAATTAATCTCATGTAGTGAACACTTGATTGTTTAATGGTTTTGTCTGAACTGTTATTTAACAAATGCTTATAGTGAGCAGCTGAGAAATTCATAGTTCATTTGTATCCTTTTTTACAGTTATTTAAATAAACGATATAAAACGTTTAATCTATCAGATAAGTTCAAAAGTATATATATATATATATAGCTTTAAATTTAAAATGAAGCAGGGTTTTTTTTTTTTTTTTTTAAAAAAAAGCCCCGCCAACCTGTGTTTTTCAGATATATTTTGAATTTTTATTTCTAAGTCTTTATTAAGATTGCATGATTTGCTTCTTAAGTAAAAGTTAAATGTTTGGTAACTATTTGTAACTTGTTTTGTTATAAAGTATTTAATTTTTTGTATGTTTTATATTTCTACTCTATTACTTTTATTTCTTAACATCACACAGCTTTTCTCATAAAAAATTGCATTAACACAGATTTAGTTCTAGAGTTGAATGAAATCTTAATTATTTTTCACAGTTATGAAAGTTTTTCATAAAATGTTATGTAATAATGTAATTTAATGTTCATAGTAATAGTAGAGAATGTTATTAATTAAGAATGATATATATCAGGCGAAAATACTTTTAAATAGTGAATACATTATTGAAATGTAGGTAAAAAATACCTATATATTTATTGACGAGAATTTGATTGAAAAATCTGGAACCATGAAATTTTCTGGCTAATAGGAATGTGCATTGAANTTTTTTTTTTTTTTTTTTTTTTTTTTTTTTTTTTTTTTTTTTACATTGAGAAACAAATGATATTTCTTAAACCTACAAATCTATTATGCATTTTGATTTAAATATCTTAAATTTTATTAGACATAATCTCATTTTTTATACTGCAAACATTTTTGTGAAGTCCAACTAATTTAAATACTATCAAACTAAGTCTTACGAAAAGAAAGAACAATTTATGGTGCCTGGAGATTATGAAATCCCTGTATTTATCTGAAATAGGACTTCATGACACATCACGTTGCATCATTAGGCAAAATCTCATACAAAATTCTAAATCAACTTTTTAGTTCATTAATTCTTCTAATAAACCTTTTAAAATAACCTTATTTATTAATGAAATTATTTGGTCTAACCGAATATTTAACAGGATTGACCCACAACTGAATGTTTGGAGCATGCCTCATTAATTTGTATCAGTTGAACAACAATGTATGATTAAATAATAAGTTACCTTTATTTCCTATTTCTCAAAATTTAATCTTTAATGTTCATTTTTTTTTCTTTCTCTGTTGGGGATTTTTTTATGTATTATATGTGCGTTATATAAGAAGTGTTAAAACTTTTAGGAAGAGTTGCTCGAGCTGGACGTAGTGGAACTGCATTTTCTCTTGTTTCTTCTGATGAGGTGCCTTTTTTGCTAGATTTACATTTATTTTTAGGGAAACCTATCAAAATGGCCAAACTTCATATGGAAAATGAAGGTAATATTTTTGTGAACTTCACACCTGAGTTGCAATTTAAGTCTTAAAAAATTCTAACATTTATTACTTTTACTCATTACTTTTTACTTTAAAATATATGATTTACTTTAAAATATATATGTTTTTTACCACGATTCAAATATTTAATTCTAGTGTAAAAGTAAATATTTTGCTTTCTTATTTATATTGATGTTTCAATTAATAATAATTAATAAATGTTATCAAATTGTGATATTATCTATTAAAACTAAAAATATTTATTTTAATTATGCAGTAGTTACTGGAATTTTATTTTCCCCAACTTGGCTAAATTACTAACATCCATCCATTCATTTAAAGCCTTCTCTCCTTCTTGAAAATCTTATTATTTTAAATCAATCTATTGTGTTTGTTTATCATTCATTTGCAGTGTCAATGTGCTTTGCTCTATTGAGTCACTGCTGGCAATTCATGCTATTGATTTTTCTCATTGTTTTTAAAACTCCTATATTATTATGACGTGCAAAATTTTATTGAGTTGAGTAATCTCTTTGGCAGTTTGCGCCGATACCATTAGAAATCCATGTGATGTTTCAGTTGTTTTATTAGCTAGGCATTTTCCAAGACATTTTAAAATCCCTTTCTATTTCATTTATAATTATTACGACTAGTAAACTTTTAATCAGGCATTATTTGACTTGACGCTTCAACTGTATTCTCAGTTGACTTTTTCTACCTTCTGATTCCACTAAAGTTTGAATGATTCTTTTTTTTTTTTTTAAATTTTGCTATTAGTCAAAATAATTTTTTTTTCTTTTTTTGAACAAATTAACTCCTTTTGNAAAAAAAAAAAAAAAAAAAAAAAAAAAAAAAAAAAAAAAAAAAAAAAAAAAAAAAAAAAAATCTTAAAATTCTTTCAATACTTATTTGTTTTATAATTTGTTAGATAGTCAGTATCATTTTTAAACCAATAAATCTCTAGTCAATATTTATTTTTCAAAAAAAGAAAATAATAACACTTTGTCTCAGATTGGCTCGATGCACTTGCAGTGGATCCCTTCCCATGTGGGTATTCATGAGAATGAGATTGCTGATCGGCTTGCCATGGAAGGGAGTGAACTTGCTACTCCCCCTTCCTCTAAACTACTAGTGTCTGAGGTTCACTCCCTGAAGTTAGTTAGGGCAAATTCAGCGTGGAAGCACCCGCCAGATCATGATTGGTATGCCGCCAAATGCCCCAGATTATCCCTGCAGTGCACTTGTCCTAGATTTGCTCAAACCAGCTTTGTCAAAACTTAGGACCGGCCATATAAAGTGTTTGACCTTCAGAGCGAAAGAAAAGACTTATGCCTATTGTCATTGCTCGGCCATCGCTTCTCCATCTCATCTTTTGGATTGCATTGGTGCCTCTGTGAGGCAACTGATGAGTGATGGAGAGACTCTATTACTTGCTGATGCGACATGATCTTCTGGACTTGGTCTAGGGCTCTAGACCAAGGGGATAAGTAACAACAAACAGAAAATAATAATAATTAAATAAAAAACTTTAATTTATTTTACATTTATTAAGTATAGTATAGAATTTGACCATTAGTTAATGCAACTTTATTATTTTAAACAAATAAATAAAAGAAGGTCTAACGATGTTTCAAAAGCCTGGTTTTTTTTCCGCAAATAATTTTAAAAATGTTTTTATAAAGTGAACATTTCTTTGGTTTGTTTTTTTACTTTCGTGTTTTTTTTTTTTTTTTTTTTTTTTTATGCATGTAAAATATTTTGTTACAGTATTATTATTATTTTTAAACTAATAAATTTTAAGTCATTTTTAATTTTAAAAAATTAATAAATAAAGCTTGGGTTTGTATTTGCTTTAAGACATCTTTATTATTTTAATTGAAAAAATTAGGTAATGCTATTGATGTTATAGAAGCATTTTTTATAGAAGGAACATTTTCTTTTGTAGTAGATTTGTTCCTTTTATTTATTTTGATAGATTAAAAGATTTATGATAGATTATTTTTGAACATATGCTACATCGCTATATCATGATGTCTAACAGACGATGTATCACTATATAAAATTTCTTTCATCGCTAAGTCCTAATTATGACACATGATATTTGAATCACTCAGTAATCACTTCATGACCTAAGTCATTTGAGTAATCACTTTTCAATATGTTTGATTTGCAATAAACTCAAGCTGTATTTCGATCATTTTTTCTAGTAGTTATTATTGCTAATTTTCAAAATCTGATGTATCCCAAATATTATTGCTATATGAAAACTGACATCCGAGATTGTCGCAGAATATAATTGTCCCTGTATATCAACAAGACAAATAAAAATAAAAAACTATAGTATAATTATAGTTTCTATAGTAATAAATTTATTTTAAAAGCATATTAAACTAGTAATCATACTCTCACAAACAGAGTGGCAAATGATTAGCGAAAAGGAAGAATGCAAAATAATCGGCTTCAACAGAAGCTTAGATACTCTTTATTTACGTCGTGATCCACGCGAGAAAGGCCAACAGCAAATGAAAAGAAGCTGACTGATCTCCACGGGCTATGACGTCATCAACGTAAGTTGAATGCATGAGATCGTAATCTTAAACCGGAATGACAAAGATCGAACCTATACCCTTTTTTTTTAATTCTATAATCAATCAAAATAGAAAAACCCTTTTAGCATATTTTTTTATTAAATTTAATGGACATAATGTTAAATATACAAGATATAAGCCAGAAATAGTTCGAACCTAGCCTTTGAAATGCTTCTGTTGAATCAGGAAAAAGGCAATTTTTCAAATAAATTAAGCGGAAACCAGTAGTTTGATCAAATTTTGTTTCAGTTGCATAAGGGTCTAAGAAATGAGAAATTCAAAACGCTTATTTGTTTAATTACTTTTTGACACGTTCGATTTGCGCTAAATCAATGTGAATTTTTTAATTTTTTGGGGAGGCAGTTAATGCTGTTAATTTTCATGTGATTTTTTTTTTTAACTTTCACTTTTATTATGATGCAGATAATTGAAATCGCGTGCGCAAGTATTCACTATTTGACACGATAATTCCATCTTTTTTCAATCAATTATTTGGCAGTTATCACACACCGATTGTCTTAAACCGCGATAATTTTATATTACAAAGTATTTATAATATTATGTTATCAAAACACGCATTTAATTAAACCCTTTTTTACACATCCAATTCGTTCAATTTTGGTGTAAATACACTTGGTTTGGTGTAATCATTAATCTTTTATAGTTATTGACAGAGATTTTAGTTTTTAAAATCTTTTTTTTATGTGATAACAACATGCTAAGAGCAACAAAAAATGTATGTAGGTTATCGTCGATAGCTATGTAACATGAAAAATTCTCGTCCATTTTATTTTCTTCATTGCTGAGCATTTCTTCGAAACAGTTATCACCTCAATCGCCAGTGCTTAATTCAAACTTTTTAAAGCAATTTGATATTGTTTGGGTTGAAACAATGTCCCATGAGTTATGAATCAAATGCATTGATTCCAAAATAGTAAGAGATTTCGATAGTTTGTTTGCAGTTAAGAGTTCCGAAGAGCTGTTACAGTCTGTGTCACTAATGATTTTTTGAATAACCATTTTTCTGTAATGAAACTTGAATGATCTTATAATTCCCTGATCAAGAAGTTGAATAATAGCTGTAGTGTTATGTGGCAAAAACACTAATTTATTGATTTTCAAACGCAAGTCCTCATCAGCAGGGTGCGCAGAACAATTGTCTAAAAGTAAGACGACCTTTTCATTTTTCAACTCCTTGTCCCATTCAAGAAGAAATTTTGTGAAGATGCTGGATGTCATCCATGTGTTTATAGCTGTTGGCATGACTGGTGGGCAGGTGTCTTTCCTATCACTAAAGGGTTTTTTTTTTTTCACAGTTCCTGTCTAATTTTTAAAATGGAATCTCCCTCATCCCAATTTCATCTTGTTCCAAATATCTGAATTTCNTACAATTTTTTTTTGAATGTAAGTTGCCTTTGAAAATCTGAAAATTAGTTTATTTGTTGAATATTGTTTTATGAAGGTTTTTATTTGCCTCAGTTTTATTTCTTTCCTTTCTGATGAACAAGAAAAGTATCTTTAGAATATAATTCTGCAGGAAAAAAAATTTTTTGCTTTTGTATTTTTTTCAGCTATTTTATTGTTTCAACTCTGTCCTTACTCTGTTTTTTTAAGTTTAAAATCTATAAATATGAAGATGAAGAGTATAATAGTTTTGGTTATGTCTATTTCGAATAATGTTATTATAATGCTTTTGTTAATTTATTGTTGCGTTTTTGTTGGAGAAAATAGCAACTTCGTTAAGTTATGAAAAATTCTTGGAATTAGTCATGAAAAGTCATGAATTTGAAAATCTAAAATGTAGCAGATACCCTGAATTTAACACCAAACGAACTTAAAAATTATATGTCTAACTATAATTTACTCAAACGGCTTAAATAATATGGAACATGCCCATAGACAGTTTTTGGAAATCTATTCATGTTCTCTGCTAAGATAGATAACAAAAGAAACTTCTCTCCCTTCTATGGTTCATTCAGTAAAAAGTAAGATAAGAATACGACCCACTGTTGAGTGAGATAGGTTTCTCCAAACTTCATTCAAGTCAAGGAATTGACATTGATAAATTGATTTATATGAACTCGCCGCTTACCACCCACATTTTTCCTTAACTCTTACACTATGCATATCGCAGGAAAGTGCTAACCACACCTGTTTCACAGGTTTGTGAGTAACTGTTGCTTCTTCTAAAAAAATCTTTAAACTTCGAAAAAATAAAATTTTATAAATAAGAACAAAAAAAGCTGAAATATTGCACCTTTGATTTATTATGTAGTCAAAATTTTGATTTTAAAAAGCGGCGGCATTGATTTTATTAAAGGATGTTTTTAACATGTATTAATATTGTAACGATTCGGTTCTTGCCGATTTGATTTTATAAAGCGGCTGATTTTATTAGTGGCAGGCACTGTATGTGTATTCTTTTATATCCAGTCTTTTATTTATCTCTTCTTTGTAATAAAAAAGAAATTCACATTTCTTCTTCCAGCTATCTTATGTCTGTTTATAGTTCAAACTTTTTTCAAAACAATTTGCCCCATGTCAGAAACACGGCGACATTGTCGCAGAACTTTACAGAGTTCTTGCAGAAAGATTTTTTCTTCTGAAAAGTAAAAATTTTTACCTTTTCTTTTTTACAGAAATTTACATTTAATATTTGAATCATGCGTTCAGATGCTCGCATTCTGACACGCTCAATTTACACCCATAGTATCGTAAATCGGTGTAATGTTTCTATTGTATTTTTGGTAATTATTGATATCGATTTTCATGTGAGAGATGATGTTTTCTCATGCATTCAACTTACATCAGGGATGTTGTAAACTACAAGTGTTCAACCGCTTTTTTTTTATCATTTGTAGTTAGTAGATAAATCAGCTTGTTATATTGTATTCATTCTTTTCTGTGTCTTTGTGTTATTCTGTTTGTCAGTCTGTAATCTATTTTAAATAATTTATCCTTGGAAACTTCACTTCTGGCTTATTAAAAGCTAGTATGCATTCAAATTGACATCATTTATGCTGTAAAAAGTCCTGACAGGCTGCACGCACTGCTTAGAAGCACTTTTATTGTGGTATGGCTATGTGATGTACGCTACTTATAGATTTAAAATAAATTAAGATCAGATTTATAATAAGTAAAATTAAGTAAATTTTGAATGAATTTCCAGTAATTACTTAAAGGTAATTTTTTTGGTTTTATATTTTATTTTTCACTATAATTCACCGATGACTGACAGAGCACACGATGTGTTAAATCTCCAAAAAATTCATTTTGTAATTTGTTCATATAGGTGACATTTGTGGGTCTGTGCCACAAAGCGTCATTGACGATGAAGCGGATCTCCTTCAATCCTGGTATCAGCTGACACCTGAGCTATCAAGCATGCTTAAAGTCACTAAGAATGCTTACTGCCAGTTCTTGAAATCTAGACCGGCTCCCTCATCAGAGTCCGTGAAGCGTGCTAAGAATTTTCCTTTGTCGTCGTTAGAAATTCATCCTATTTTCAAAAGTAAATACATTTCAACTTATATAATAGAATTATTACTATAAAGCCAAAATTATATGCATTGGTTAAAATAATAAGCTCTGCCTCAAATGTGAGATACTTAAATTTGAGGCTATTTTAATTTCCTTGGCAAAAAATCTGGAATATTCATAAGTGACATAAGCGATCACTATCCAACTTTTTGCCGTATTTATAACGATGAAGTAAATAAAATTAAGGAAACTGAAAATAAAATTTCAATCAGCTATAATAAACTCTATCTGTCAAATTACAAATTTAATTACAATCCTCAAGATTCTCTTGATCAACAATATGAACGTTTTGTTTTCAAATTCAATAATTTAAAAAATAATTTTAAATGTACACATAAATCAAACAAAAGAGCCAAAAATAACTAGATGACTAGTAATATCTTGAGTTTAATTCGAAGAAAGGAAAAACTATTCAAAAAAACTAGAAAATATCCATAGGATATTATTTACAAAGCAGCATACAACACTATAGTTTCTGATCTTAAGAACTTAATTAAAACAGCAAACTCAAAATACTTCAAAAACAAATTTTTAAATTGTGATTAAAATAAGCAAAAATGGGATCTTGTAAAAAGTATTATTGGTAATCAGAGCGAATCACCTACTTTAGCTGATATTTTAAACGACTATGAATCTTCTGATCAATTTAATAAATCATTTGCAAATGCTAACAGTACCTCATACCCGAATTCAAACAGTTTTCAAATCTATATTTCACCAAGTTTAACCTCGTTTGTTTTCCTAGAATTGAATGATTGTGATATACTTAACTTAATAAATTCTCTTTCTAATAAAAACTCCTTTGACTATGATGGTATTAATTAAACTATTTGCTCTCAATAATATAAATTTTATAACTAATTTCATCAATACCTCAATCAAGTCATCCATTTTTCCAACTTCTTTAAAAAGAACAACCATAACTCCTATTTTTAAAACCGGCGATAAAAATTGCTTATCAAACTATAGACCAATTTCAATATTACCTGTTTTTTCCAAAATCATTGAAAAAGCTCTAGCTAATAAAATGTACAATTATTTACAACATACAAATTTTTTCTCTGAAAATCAATATGGATTTATTAAAGGCAAATGTACAGAAAAAACTCTTTTGGAATTTTCAAAATTTATTCAAAATAGTATTGCTGAAAATAAGATAACAGTAGCTATATTTCTTTATTTATCAAAAGCGTTCGATAATGTCAATCACAAATTTTTAATCAAAAAAATTAGAATTTGCTGGTTTCAGAGGAATTATTTTAAATTTGTTTATTTCATATCTTTCAATCAAAGAACATAGAGTTAAAATCAGAAGTAATTTTAGTAATTATATTTTTCAAACCGTGGTGTTCCTCAAGGATCTATTCTAGGACCCTTATTATTTATTATATTCATCAATGACTTTTGCCAACTCTAACTTTTTGGCAAGATAATAACATATGCTGATGACTCCGTAATTTTGTATTCTTGCTCTGGTCAACTAATTTTTCAAATTGAATCTGATTTACGCATAATTTCAAAATGATTTACAATAAATGACTTAAGTTTAAATCTAAATATATTTACATACCTGCCAACTTTTACGCATTACGCGTAAAATGTACGCATTTCTGGTCATCTCTACGCTTATACATCGTTTTTTACGCATCTGAAATTATTTTTCCGAAAAATAATTAAAATGTTACTTTCAGCTAAAAGCCGCAAGCGCGTTTCATGTATTGGGAACAGGTTTCGCGTTTGCGGAGCGCACCTCTACGGGAACGAACTGATGCGCAAAACCATTGCAGTGAGAACAACCTTCTGTAGATAAACGTCATACCGCTACTGCCTTTGTATGCGGGGCTTAAACATTTCTTGCCGTGGAGTTCGCGTCGTATGTGCAACTCAACTTAATGTTATGATTGTTTCTTTTAAATCGCGTGTACGATGAGCATAATAATCTTAAAAATTTATTTATGATCGTTTGTTTAGAAGATTTTTTTTTTTCACTTTTGTTAAAAATTATGGCTGAGACCAAAAAGGCGTATTGCCAAACTTTTAATGCAAAATATACGAAGGAATTTCCGCTTTTAAAACCGTCTAGACTTGGTGATAAGAGCGCATTCTGTGAGATTTGCCGTTGCGATTTTACCATTTCACATGGTGGAAAGTTTGATATTTCTCGCCATGTTAAATCTATGAAACACAAGAAATCTGCAGAATCGGTCAGCTCTAGCACGAAATTAGATGGATATCTAAAGAATGACGATATGGACGTGATTAACGCTGAGATGTTATTTACGTCTTTTCTCATAGAGCATAACGTACCTCTTACGGCCGCTGATCATGCAGGTCAGTTATTCCGTAAAATGCTCCCGAAGTCAAATATTGCTAAACAGTATGGATGTGGTCGAACCAAGACGTCTGCTCTTGTTTATCAAATGGCTAGTGATCATGTTGATTCAATGATAAAGTTAATGCAACACAATTCTTTTTNTTATGTGCAACTAGACGTCTGCTCTTGTTAATCAAATGGCTAGTGATCATGTTGATTCAATGATAAAATTAATGCAACACAATTCTTTTTCTACCGCTTGTGATGGCAGTAATGATGTTGATCACAAGTTGTATCCGGTAGTAATTAGTTATTTTAATCCGGATGAAGGATTAATTCAAAGTAATCTTTTATCTGTATCTAATTTATCTGGTGATGGAACTGGTCAGAACATTAGTTCATTAATTTTAGATGAATTTAAGAAGTTTGATATTCCTTTTGGAAATTGTGTTTCATTTATGTCAGACAATGCTGCTGTAATGCAGGGGAAAAGAAATGGAGTAATTGCTCATCTAAAGCAACAACATGATAGTCTAATTTCGGCAAGGTGTGCTTGCCATTTGATTAATCTTGCAGCTGAAAAAGCAGCTGCCATCTTACCCATTAATGTTGATGAAATATTGGTTGATATTTATTATTATATAAACAAGAGTGCAAAACGTAAAGATGCACTAAAGCACTTTCAGGCTTTACACGATAAAGAAGTGCACAAGATATTGAAGCATGTATGCACTAGATGGCTCTCTTTAGGCCGTATTTTATCTAGACTAATGGAGCAGTGGGATCCCCTTGTGAGTTCGGAATCGGTGAAATCTCAGTCTAAGACGGTGTCAGTCTCTTTGATCACGTATCAAATTCCAAAAAAAGCACACACTGACTTGAGTGTCAGTAATACGTGTACACCCAAGGTGAAATCTGTTCCCTCTAAGAGAAAAGCCACAGATGAAGGTTCTTCAAGTAGTAAACAACCAAAATTCGATACACATGACTATTCAAAAATTCTCAGCAGAGAAGAGAAATTATTTGTTTCTTTTTACTTCTGAAAATAAAGCATACTGCTTATTTCTCCTCAATACTGTGACAATATTTGAAAAGACAAATGTTTTGTTACAGTCTGATTCTCCTTATGTTCTTAAATTAAGAGACATATACCTCCAATTATTAAAAGAATTATTTAGTAAGTTTTTAAAGCCCTCTGCAATTAAAGATCAAGATCTACTTAAAGTCAAATATCATGAGAAAGAGAACCATAAAGAAATATCAGAAATAGTTATAGGCAGCGTAACTGCTAAAGAAGTGTCTAATTTTAATGCTGAACTGAGGAGGAAATTTTTCCATAATTGTGTAAATTATTTTATTGCTGCTTGTGATTACATCATCAACAAATTTCCCTTGAATGATGAGGTTTTGATAAATGCTAAAGTGGTTGACTTAGCCACAATTGAATCTGCAAAATTTTCTAATGTTCAATTTTTTTTAGATTTATTTCCATCATTAATTAAAACTGTAGAAACAACAGTTGATGAACTACAAAATCAATTTTGTTCCCTTCAACTAGAAGATATAAGTGAAATTGCAAATAATGACAAACGCATGGATGCACAATGGGCTAATATATTGCAAATCAAGGATGTCAACGGACAATATAAATATAAGCAACTTGCCAAAATTGTGTTATCAATTTTAACAATTCCACATAGTAATGCTCAAAGTGAGCGAATATTTAGTGTTGTCAAAAAAAATCTTACTCAATTTCGCTCTACAATGACAAATAAAACCTTGGAAAATTTGTTGGTAGTTAAAACACACAATTCAAAGCTGTGTTATGAGAGGAAATTTTCAACAGATGCTTTGAAAAAAGCAAAAAAGGCAACTGTTGCTTTTCTTGCAAAATCATGAATTTGTTTTGCACACTGAAAATGCTTTGAAATGTGTGTTTTACAATTATTATATTAATAGCTTTTTTTAATTTTTTCTGCTTTTATGTGTCAATAAAATTTAACTTTTTGCTTTTCAATAATTATTACTTCCTGGTTGGATCATAGACTTAAAAATTTTACAATTTAATGTTGAATTTAACGTTCACTAAATGAATAAATACTAAAGCTAAATATTGGTTGTTCGTTATTTTACACAATGAGTTTTTTTTTTTTTACACATTGAGATTTTTTTAAGTTGGCAGCTATGGTGTAGTTAACAAACTAAGGCTCTGTTACTGTAAAAGAAAATGCCTGTGCCATAACTAGGTATTCTTTACAAACAAATTTTTGATAATCTATTCGGTAGTTCAAGAGAAGCTAAAGCTATTTTTTCACATTTTTGTGAAACTTGTGTGTCAAGTATAGTTCACTCCGGTTAATGTCACCTAAATACTTAACATCATCTGTAATAGTTAACACGCGGCTCATAGCCACATCCCATTGTTTTCAGTCTTTTTGCAGTAGAGTTTCGAGCTTCATTTGGATTTACCCCTTGTTGAAATATTTTTGTTCCTTAGAGTTTGCTATTTAATTCTTTTTAGTTTACATCTACGCTGTGCCTTGTTATGAAATTTCGTAATAATTTTTTGGGTTGTGACATTGCAAAAGAATTTAGTTACCAAAAAGGAGAAAAAATGGAAGTCATTTATGTTTTGAAACATATCTTGGATTAGACACAATTGTTTTGTAAATGAGTAAAGTGCCCAGCTCGAGTACTTAAGATTCGGAGTTTATTAAAAAGTGGAGTTTGGTAGTAATTAACTGTTTTTCTTGCTTCTGCAAAATGTTTATTGGCAATCATATTTGGTATTGTATAACTTCTTAATAAAGCTATAACAAAATAACAATGTCCGGATGTGTCTTTTTTTGCAGATTCCAACAAACGCAAGACGTGCGTGGAAGTGATGGATAAGGCCAAAGCTGAAAAACCATGGTTTGGCATTGAACAAGAATATACCCTATTAGACTGTGATAAACATCCATTTGGTTGGCCAAAAAATGGTTTTCCCGGCCCTCAAGGTAAGCACCCAATGCCCCTCCCCCTTTTTTTCCTTTGAAAATTTTTATTTACCTAAGTAATCACATTGGTCTGTTACTCAGTTACAGAACCTCTGTAAATTGTTCAGCTACACAGAAGAAATATTTTTAATTACCATCAGAACGCGAGATAAATTATTTCTTCCCAAACGTTGCATTTCGTTGGCTCGAGTTTTAAATGGCACGAATATGAAATCCTGCAATGCATGATAAATTAATTGCATTATTTAAAGAAATGTAATTATTTAAAAATTTACTTGAAAGATGAAAGTTTTGCTTAAAAAAGATTGTTCGTTCCGGTTTAATGTGGGTCATGAATCTTAAGACTCCACAATTTCGTCACCAACGGCATTGTGACAATGTGGTCAACGATTCGCATATGCCGCGTTTACTTTCCAAGATTTCCAAGTTTACTTAAGCAGATACCTATCTATCTGAAGCTGGGTGGACTTGAAGCCGCCTCTGAGGCTCAAACCCTCAATCCTTCGTAATGGCAGCTCAGTTACTTTAACCACTCTGGACAATCTCTGCTCGTTCAGCTTCATAATTAAACTTTATTTTGTCTAATTTTTATAACGTCTGAAATTTTTTTAAATTTTTTTCTGCTAGGCCAAAATTAGCAGCATTCACCACCGTGCTGTGCTAGATCAGCGGCCAAGGTCTGTTTGAACCCAAACTTATTTTTAACCAATTCCGGAGCGGCAAAAAGAGAGGCATTTCCCCAAAGCCCCGGAACTCCGAGAGTAAAAGTACTGAAGAATACTTATACGTATGCCTATACAGGAAGTAATAAGTGAGTAATATATTAAGATTACATCCGTGTGAGTCAGAACGATTCGTCTCATATGATGCCTTTGGAGATTGAAAAGAGAATAGCTTGATCATGTATCACGGTCCTAGATGGCTTAAAATGTATTGTTAAAAGTGATATAACCCTCTTGAGTAACCTGTTTCTTTCCCCCCCCACTAGGTCCCTACTACTGTGGGGTGGGTGCTGATAAGGTGTATGGTCGTGATGTGGAGGAGGCCCATTACAGAGCCTGCATGTACGCTGGCATTCCAATCTGTGGCACCAATGCAGAGGTGATGCCTGCTCAGTGGGAGTTCCAAGTTGGACCGAGTGAAGGCGTCGCCATCGGGGACGATCTCTGGATGTCCAGATTCATTCTGCAACGAGTAGCCGAAGATTTCGGTGTCGTGGTGACCTTCGATCCAAAACCCATTCCTGGAGACTGGAATGGTGCTGGTGCACACACCAACTTCAGCACCAAAGCCATGAGAGAAAAAGGTGGATTGAAGTAAGTTAAATCTAAATAAGCAAAATGAATGCTTGCAAGAGAGAGATGTGATATCTTTTTTTTTCTATTGCCTTGCATCAATTTTACCATGCATTTTGTTATAAGTAATTTTACTATTGTCAACGCGTGTATTTTTTAATTTTTGGGATTTAGTAAAGTTAACTGTTAACCAACTTTAAACGAAACATCTTCACTCTGTATCAGGGACAAGCAGAACTAGTTGCCTGGTCTTCTTAAAAGATAGGGGAGAACGTTTACATTAAAAATAAAATACTAAGAAGTTCTGCTCATCCTACTGACGAAATCTTGCTGTACACTGTTCTTTTAAGGGTGTAAGAGGTCTTAACTGAAAATTCTTCAATTATCTTAAGAAACATTCTAAAAATAAATTCTAAACAATACATTCTTAATTTATAAGAAGTTAAAGCATATATTAACACGCTATTATCTCGAATTCTGGCGAAATAAAATGAGCTTTTGAATTTTACTCAACATCTTATTTTTTAAAGTGATTAGCGGATTGCTCTTACAAAAGTAGATTAAAAGCATCGATTGCAGAGAGGGGCGCATTTTAATATAAAATTAAAAAATATTACTATTTTTGTTTATCCGCAAAATTAGTGTTTCATTTTAATTTCACTTTTGACTTATCTCGATAATTAGTAGTTAAATGTTTATAATTTTTTGTTTCAATATAAATTTGTAATCATTAATATGTTGCTTCTAATGACTTTTGACAAGGATTCTTAAAACAGAAATATAGCTCTAATTTGTCCTATTCTACCCAAGGTTTAGAATGTGTTTCATAAGCGCAATATATATTTTTAAAAAGTTTGTTATAAATGTCAAAATTATATGCATATCAGGGGGAGTAAATTACAAGAGAGGTCGAAAAAAAATCAAACCTAGTAAATCTTTAGCGATAAAGGAAAGATTGAAAAAAAAATTGAAATCTACTTCATTGTAGAAATAAGTGAAGTTGAAAAGAGACTATTAGGAGCCTCTTTAAACTTTGTCTGCCATCAAATTGGTTTTTAAGTGCTTAATCTTTTCGGTTATAGTGGCTTATCAGATTGTTTAAACTTTGTTTTTCTTTGCAAAATGATTAATATGCGACTCCTTATGTGTAATTGTAGACCTAATATGTATATTTTTGTACTTAATTTTTAGAAAAAAAAATTCTAGAATCATTAATGCTAGGAATTATGGAATACATTCTATTACTTATTAAGGTCATAATGCAAGATTTTCTTTTGCCGTTATACTATCTAATAACTGGATCAGACCGCTAGATCATGTATAGTGCGGCTTTCAGGAGAACTCTTCCAGGCAGAAGTCTTGCCTTGTGGTAAGTACTATGGTTACGAGGAAATTACACTTACATGGAAATTACATGGGGTGAATAGTTTTGTCTTAATCTCTGCATAGATCGTCGTGAGTAAACCAATCGACACATTCCTTCCTCCATTTTAACCCATTAGAAATGCGTCCTTGCTTGTTACCATAGTAGTAGACAGTCTAGACTTTTAATCTGGAGTTCTTCTCAAAGCAGTACTATATGAATTTGCTGAGCTATATTTGAACTGCCAAATAATAAATTCAATCGTAATTTGATGTTCGATTCTACGATATTCATTTTTCTTATAGGGAGATTGAAAAAGCTATAGAGCGTCTTTCCAAACATCATGACCGTCACATTCAAGCATACGACCCCAAACAGGGCAAGGACAACGAGCGCCGCCTGACGGGATTCCATGAAACTTCCAGTATTCACGACTTCAGTGCCGGAGTCGCCAACAGAGGTGCTAGCATTCGTATTCCAAGGCAAGTTGCCCAAGAGGGGATGGGCTACCTCGAGGACAGGCGTCCATCTTCCAATTGCGATCCCTACAGTGTTGCTGAAGTTATTGTCCGAACAGTCTGTCTGGCTGAATGAACTGTTCCATTTCATTCTGTTTGTTTAGATAATTTTTCCGAGTACTCCCTCCTTCCCAGCAGAACTTTTTTAATTTGGCGTAATCATTCTCTTGTCTTCGTGTTACGAGGCACCTTGTGATTTTAGTGTTGGATGACTGGATTACCTTCAACAGCACATTTTTAGATTATGTTTTGTCTTTTTAAAAATAAAAATTTATTAAATGTCTTTGTTTTTTCCACTTTTAAGATTCAAAAACCAAATAAGTTTTGTAGTTGTGTATTCCACCACATTCCTTTAACCAAATCCATTCCTTTGATTACTTATATTAGCCGCAACCGGCTGGTCCGCTATTATAATTAAGTAGAATTTCACGTGTTTCGAGATAGCACAGTCAAAACTAAAGACATGTGAGTATAATGATTTGAAAAAATATACTCATTTCTCATGTGAGAGATGGATTTAAATTTTTGTCTCATATGTTCCTCTTATATCTTTGATATCTTTGTGAATTTGTTATTAAAATGTTTAGTACAACATATGATAACATTAAAAATGCATGCTTATTTTAATGGCGCCTTTGGATAATCAACTTGATCAAAATAAGACTGCACTTATGTACTGTTACTAACTAAGCGAGCTAACGAATTTTCATTTTAAAGACTTATTTCGCCAGAATGAAACTAACTTTAACCGTTAGAAATTTAAAGTTAAAAGAATACACCTATACTAAAACGTTAAACTATATATTTTAAAGTAAAAAAAAGAAGTACGATTCACTACAAAATGAAGAAAATAGAGAGCGCTGTAAGCGATCACAATTTTGACAAGATTGTTGTTGTGTAATTTTTTTTAGAAAAGAAACTTTATTGTGTTTTCATCGTGGACATCTTTAACTGTGAATCATCTTTAACTGTTCGGTACACAATTTCGCAGACATATTTAAAGGCAGCTCAGACATATTCAGTGAAAATTCTTCTGAAGACTGAATAGACATTTGACNATTACGATCATCGTTCCATTTTGTTTCTTTTTTGTAGTATACTGAATAAATAGTTAATTTAACTTAAAGATGTCATGTTCAGTCAATACTTGCATAACTCAATAATTTCTACAATATATCATTATTACCGTTCAATATTACCATTTTCGGATTGGTACTATGGTGTTTGATGGAGATTGTAAGCTGCATCATACACCCGTTTTGGATTCACAAGTTCATACATGAAATATGATTTGAAAATTAGTTTTTTTTAAAAATTTTGCATGAATAGTGAATGACTCATTTATATTGCGTGGAAGACAGTCTACGGTCCTGTGCAAGTTGTTTGGTACGCGGACAATGGATCCTTTTATCCCTAACCTAGTGATCAACACTCAGTTCTCGTATTTGCTTGAAAGGGGTTCGGAGAGTCACCATTCGCTCTTCGGTAGGGTTCAATTCTCTCGACTACTTTGGCACTTTTGTGAGGTACTTTGTGTTTGGTACTTCATGCTTGTGTTTGCGAACGGAATCCTTTCGTTTTTCCGTTTGTGTGTAACGCTTAAAGTATTCTCGTCTACGCTTTTTGGCTTTTTCAGTCCCGGCAAGCTAAGGCCTCGTTTTTATTTCTTGCTTCAACTTTAATTTTTGGGACCGTGTCAATCAGTTTGAACCTTCTTTATTTGAGATATTCCCCTGAATTAGTAGTGAAAACGATCCATTTGAGCTGTTGGTTAGAATTTCTGATTTTTAATTAAAACAAAAATATCGTTCAAATTACGAAATTCTCTTTTATTCACAACTCAAGAAGTATTTATGGGATCTCTCTGGTCCCATATCTCAAAAATAAACTCACCCACTTAATGCATAACAAAATTAAATGTGAAGAAGCTAATTATCCAACAGTAGCTGTCGCTATAGCAACCCATGCACACTGTGTACCATTGCTCTCGATTATTGTAGTTGAAAAATGCGGTTTAATACCCATTTTGCCAATGGGTAGTAAACATTAAAAAACTTATACTTAATGGTTCTGTTTAAGAACTTAAAGTCAGCATAACCTTGTAAATAAGTAATTACATTAAAAAGTTAAAATTACTCTTTTCATTTATTTGACTCGTTGAATTCAAAATTAAATTGGAATTTAGCTTGCCAACCACTTTTATTTAACCTTATTAAGACTAGACTAATTTTTTGATTCTAAAAACTTTTCTTCCCTTACTATCGAGACCAAGGCTTTGAGACCTAACACTGATCTAAGTCTTAAAGGTGAATACTCAGATTAATTTATGTAAGTTGGGGGCATTTATCCGTTGTCGCCCAAACTCTTATTTTCTACTAATCGGCTGCTTTTTCGAGGGCTCACACACACACACACACACAAATTTTACCATTTATAATTATTAAGCACTGACAAGTATTGGTAAAAATATAAATTTACGTTTTCCTTCTTAATATACTTTCTACATTGTTATCATTTTTTTTGTTACCTCAATAAAATTGAGCAACATTCACATTAATTGGGTACTTTTCTGGCAGCCGGGCGCAAGCGAAAAATTGACAAATAATGTTCCGCCAAATTTCCTACAACCATAAGGGGAATGTTAGTTTGGGGCCACGTGCGAATTCTCTGAATTCATTCAAAACAAAGCACGTTTTCCTTTCTTCCATTTTAATTTTTGTTTTAAAAAAATGATGAAAATTTGGGACTTAGCCAGAGGGTAAAGCTGTTTTCTTTACACAATTCATTAGTATTTGTTAATAGTTGAACTTGTTTTGCTTACTATTAATAAATATTTGTTTATAGTTGAACGTTTTCGACTTATATTCCGTTGACTGTTTTGTCATTTGCTTATCGCTTGGCAACTTGGCTCGAGTTTGGTTCACAATTGGCGACATTTGCGCCCGACTAACGGATAAATACCCTATACTGTATTCAATAACTATCGCTTTGATTAGCATCCATGATATATTCCAGGGATGGCGAACCAATGGCACGCGTGCCATTTATGGCACTCGACACAATATTTTGGGCACGCCATCTATCACAATTGAAGCATATGTAACAATTAAATTAAAATTCACGAAAAACAAACAAAATAATAAGCAATTATTAATAAAAAAAATTAACAATTAATGCTAAAAAAACAATTAATAACCATAAAAAACAAGCTAACAATAAATAACTAGCAAAAATAATTTAAGAGTCCTGCTTAAACTAACATCTTACAACCTAATATAAGTTATTTGTCATCTAATCTGCAACAACAGAGGTCACACTGATGTTACTTTAAGTTGAATTATGCGTATAACTGAGACACTGCAAAATGTATTTTATTTCAATGTAAATAAAGAATTTTTAGTTGATAGTGTTTAGTATTATTATTTTCCCTATAATCACGAAGTCAAAAGTATTTGACGGCACGTCTACGACCTCATTAAATTTTTTTTTTTAGAAAAATGGCACTTTGATGTATAAAGGTTCGCCACCCCTGAATATTCCATGCACCTGTATGTATTATCGGTAGCCGGTGACCTGGTTAAATTAGAATCTAATGTTCTATTTGTTGGCGAACCAATAACCGTCAAGAAGTTAATTTTTTTAAAGTAAAGTTTATAATTTTATTTAAATGATAATAACATGAAGTTTGAAAACTTAAAATTCATGATCAGAAAAAATGTGAGCAATTTATTATGATTATTAATAGATGGTATTAAAATATTTAAGAAAAAAATGTAATAAATTTAAAAACCTTGAAATTGAAATGCTGTTTGGACGAATTAGAATTGGGTACTTGCAGCTAGAGAAGATCACTGATACTGAGCTGTACTGGAGAAAACATCCGGACTTCTGAGGCCGCTTGCGGCCCTTTTCCCATTCATCTTCAGCTTGAACTTTGTGGTGTTTCGATGAGATGGTGGAATGCGAATGAAATAAAAGAGTATTCGTGTGATAGATCACGGGTTTCCAACTTACATGTGGCCGGGGGCCGCAATTAAAAACACCAATCAAATGGCGGAGCAAGACTTTATCAAAATTTTATATAGTACTCTTTTATGTTTCAATGAACATAATATATTACTGTCAGATTTTTATCAAAACTTTTTAAATATTAAAAAGCAAAATAAAAGCATTACAAATAATGCTTGTTACGTATAATTTTGAATCTTCTCTTAATCAGAAACTTAGTGCCAGGATTTTTTTTCTTTCAAATTTAATTCTGCTATAAATTAACATATCTTTCGACTTATTTGGAATTATAGCAACAAAAAGAAATTCCCGAGCATACGAAATTAATTTTTTTAAAAATTCTTTTGCGTTCATGCGATTTTCAATTCAAGGAATTTAAATAAAATTCTTTCCCTCTTTTATGCGTTTCAAAATTTACAAATGTAAGTAATTTCATCCAAAATGAGTCGTTTCAACAAATTAAATGGGAGAATTTCTTCGAGAAAATGATTGATACGCACATGCTAAATTATATTCACAAAATAGAAAAAAAAGAAATAAAAAAAGGGCAACATACACGATTATTTTTGTATTTGAATAAATATTTTCTCGGATGTAAAACCTGAGAAATAAATTTTTTGCACCGTTGGTATGTCAAATTTGACAGAAACGACGAAATTAGGTTTTTTTAAACGAAAGAAAAGTATTTTAAATCCATATAGAATTTTTGCGAAAATTGTCAGCAAAAAAACGACAATTAATATATTTTAGTTAGCGGGCCACAAAAAAAGGCTTCGAGGGCCGGGCCGCCAGTTGGCAACCACTGGGATAGATGATCATTGATGTTCTGATTGTTTAGTTTTGTGCAGTAGGGTGATAAGACTACAATGTAAAAGTATGAACTTGAGCTGACCTGATCTGATGAAAATGAGGTTATGTATATGCTGTTGATGTCGGGAATATGATGCATCACTGCAATAGTATGCTGCAATTGGTCTGATGTTCTTGTCTTCAGTTAAAGTTTCATGTAGGAATATTTCATTTAAATTTTCTGCAAAGCAAGAGGTGGCTTTTTCATAGAATTTGGTATTTAATTTAGCTATATGTTTGTCTATTGCATCAATTTCGATCACTGATACATGGACACGTGATCTATGACCTAGAAGCGACATGACATCAAACGCATATTCTTCATTTCTGAATTATTTTTATTATTATTTATGAACTCTCAGTTTGTATTTACTTCAACTTTGATTCTTACATTTTAGAATTGCATTTTAATGTTGTTCTTTTATC